TAATTAAAACAAACAACAGAAGTTATTAGTTCATGAGTTTCAGTAGAATTTTTCAGCAATGAAGGAATAAATGGGCATATGATTTTTAAGTTGTTTGGTGGCAGTCAGAAGGAAGCCCTCCACGTAAGTTTCATGGTTGCCGTCATTCGTCAGCAAGGCTTATCTGCAGTCCTCAAGAAACTTCTTCCTCGGGTTTGAAGACAAGTCAACCAGTTCTTCAGTCAAAGGCATAACCACTGAGCTATTCAGACTAGTGACTGACTTTTTGTAGGATTGTAATGCATACTTTGATTGGACACCAGGTAGGAACGAGTATCATGCATCTAGTCCTTCGTCTGGTCCAGACTGATGGCCACACTGCAACTGGTAGAATTCAGTCTGCATCGAACCAAGGACCGGACTCATAACATTAATTACAACTTAGTGGTCAAACAAAGGATATATGATTGCATGGAGGATTTCATCATGAGCTGACATCAGTTAGGGAACCACTGGAAAACCTGCAAGGAGTACTGGACAGCCAACTGTTTCGTCCTAGTTTGAGACTGTTCACAGTACACACGTACCGGGATTCGAACCCAGGACCTCCTGGTTACAAGGATAGCAAGCTCGTAGACCATTGAGCCACTGGGACCCGATCCAATGGTCCTTCTGCCAATTCACGACATAGTGCGACCGTTTCGCAATGTCTTCTTCTTCTCATGATGAAATCCTCCATGTAATCATATAAAATCCCTACAAAACCAATACTTGAAAAGGACATATGATTTGTATGTACAGCAACACCAAACAGATAAAGTGCTTTTTACTTAATCTGATCGAAGATTTTAAAAAACTTCCACAATTGCATGGAACTTAAAATGAAGTCATGCTAGATACCGTGATCACGAAAATCAAACGTTTAATACACAGATTCATCTAGGTGGTCACATTTGAATGAATCTTTTAAGCAGACAGTTTTGATAATGTTGATATATATTTATTTGACTTTTCGACTGTTGAAAGTTACACATTATAGTTTCCACCTCCCAGTGCAGCTGGCTATCATAGACATAATGTGCACAGGTGAAATAATTGAATAACGCTTGTCGCTTGCTTCATTGACGTACACTGTATCACAATGCGTCGTCTGTGGTTTGACTTCCGGCCAACGCACTACTAAATCCCAAAAAGTAAAAACAGCACCATGACTAATAATAATAATAACTTGCTTTATTCCAAAACAGTACTTGAGGTACAGAATGGAATTCTCAGCATTTTTACTTCAGTACTGCATCCAGTTAGTACATTATCAAAATACATAATACATAAATAAATACAGCACATAAAATTCTACATAGATTAAGGAAATCTCAGTTCATTATGGCAACATATTGTCGTGTCGGTAGCAAAGCCAAAGTTGAACAGTGTTTGAAGGTGTTAGAAAAGTAGGTGCTATCGTATTTACTGGCGTAAGCGGAAGAAAGAAACAAAGCAGCACATAACGGAAAAAAGTGAAAAAAGAAAGAGAGAGAAAAGGAAAAGAAAGAAAGAAAATGTTGTACCTATAAATGATATGAGTTGGAAAGACGAGATCCAGTTGTTCTACTGACTATTTAATGAATTATAGGTGTCACGCCTAATGCATTCTTTATCGCACAGAACACGAGCTAAGTAGGGTATGGTTGAGTTTTTGTACGTGCTAGTGCGAGGATATAGTTTTCTATATAGGCTTCTGGTCCTACCTGATGAGATACAAGGGGAGAGTTGTGAATGAAGAGGGTAGTGTGAGTTAGATAGAATGGGTTTAGCCCATTTTTCACATGAGTCCAAGTGCCTGCCTGTCGACCAGAATGTTAACAATCTGGTTAAGTGGCACGTTGCTTACCCTGCTGACAACCTTTAACATCCTGCGAAGTATGTTATAGTCTTTCTTCAGTAGCCCAGGGAAAACTAAGGGGGAACAATAGAGAATAATATGCAGAATGCGAGATTTAACGAATTGTGGGAGTAAGGGTTGGGTTATACCAGAATGTCTCAACTTCTTGATGTAGAAGGTAAGACGGAATATTTTCTTAGAAATCATCAAGATGTGAGATGACCAGGAGAGATCAGCAGATAGAATGAAGCCTAGGTATTTAATTTCCGATTTGGTTTCTATTTCAGTGCTGTCTATGTTGCATACCTCGTGAGAGCCAGTCAGTTTGTTTAGGTCGGATTTATGCCTAAAGGTGAAATTGACTGTTTGGCATTTGGAGGGGTTTAAGGTAAGACCGTTTTCCTTGGACCATTGGCTGATTTCTGACAGAAAGCCATTTAGTTTATAGCAGTCACTTCGACATTTTACAGGCAGGTCGTCAGCATATTTGACAAAATTAATGTCATTTGAAGATGGTAAGTCATGTAGAAAGAAAGAAAAGAGAAGTGGGGAGAGTACAGCACCTTGGGGGACACCAGCTTCAGTGAGCGCAGCAGAGAAGGATTTACCTTTGTATACGGTGTACTGCATTCTGTTAGAGAAGTAGGAATGCAATCAGTTAGTGACCCAGGACTCAGTTTTTGTCAAAGTGAGCTTATTTAGCAAGAGACATCTAGGTACAGAGTCGAAAGCAGAAGTGAAGTCGAGAAAAGTCGAAACCTCAAAGAAAAACTGTCAGTTGCTTTATTCACTGTATCTGATCACTACGTAGAACTTGCAGTAGATTTGATCATACGCAAAATATACTGTGGAATTGCTGAAAAATTTTGACTACCTAGATCCTGGGGTCCTCAGAATACAATTACCAATAAGATGTATATATTTATTTTAGTATAGATAACAGGGAAATGAATTCATCAAATCTCCAGACAAATATAATTCACATGCTGAAAAGTAACCGTATTTTTGAGTACGCGATTCTTCGGTTCAATATACTTTTTACAATTTTGTTCATATGATTCATACACTTTGTTGTGTTTCACTGTTGTTTTAAATGACATCTTCTCCGTGTGTTAGATTGTTTGAGGCAATTGCCAGGATGCTTTGCAGCTAAGTTTTGTGCCTGTCGATACTGTTTCCATACTTAGAAGAACTGACTTTCCTTTCGAGATTAGGATATATGTTACACAGCGCTGCAGTCAAAGAGGTTAATACTGAGCTATTCAAATTCGCGACTGAAGGCCACATGTACTTCTTGCTGAAGAGCTTCAAAAATTATGAAACCTAGGGCCATGGCTTTCTGCTGATAGCTTTCAAGTAACCAACATGAATTCAGTGTGAGCTGAGATGAACATTTACTTATCTTAGCGACCACACTGGAAATGTGATTGTTAGAGTTCAGTCTACACCAATACCAAGGTCTAGACGCATGGTATTAGTCACACCCTAGTGGTCAGTCAATGTATATTCTTAATATATTTGAAGGCATAAAATGGTTGACGTTCCTTTAGAATTCTAAGTCATTGCTTACTGATATTCATTTACGTGGATATACAGCTGAAAGCGTTATTTTCAGGCATATTTCACTTGCTTTCGGTGTTTCGGATACAAAGACAAAAGAACACTGTTTTAAAACCCCACTAACAGTAAAGTCACTTCAAAGACTACATTATGTATCTCTAAATTTTCATCTAGTGGTAGACGTGATGCCCAATTATTGATCAAAGGAAGTGTGCACTCAGCAGTAGTTCACTCCGTACCTCTTTACAGCTGTGAGACATGACCACTAAAAGTGGGAGATATGAAAAAGCTAGATGTCTTTGATCATAGGTCTCTAAGTTTTATCTCCCCGGTTAGGCAGTATAGTAGGGTGATTAATATTGGGGTTGCGCGTCGAGTGCTAGATAAGAAGAGAAAATCTATCGATGAGATTGTGGAGTTACTTCGATTGAGATAGTTAGATGTTTCACGCGTCGGTGGCACAGTGATTAGGACTCTCGCCGACCATGCATATGGTCCGGGGTTCGATCCCCTGCCGACGCACACCCGATATCTATGGTCGGCCTGCAAAATTTGGGTTACCGATATCCATGCTGAAAATTCCATACTTGTACTGAAAATACGGTGTGGCATCAAGCTGTAATCAAAAATATAAAAAATATAAATAAAATAAACATCGCTTTTCTTGATAAGCAGTGTTAGCTGACAGAGGATGGATCAGAATGGAAAAGAGCTAATGATGGTCAAACGAAAATATGGAATCAGTCGATGAAATCTTTGACATTTAGACTGAGCCATGTAGAGAGGTGTAGACTGCCTAGCCGGGAACATTGAGATCCTAAGAACCAATGGCTGGAGACGATTGGTGATATGGTCCAAAATCGTCGTCAGTGGCGCAGATGCACTTACCCTCTGTGATTTGTCATGACCATTTAACCTTGTTGTTCTTCCATGTTACTATTCTTTTTCCCTCACATTTCTGCTTGTTATCGCTCTTTCAAGCCTCAGTTTTTCTTCCTTTCTTACCTTTTCGTATGCTACAAGGAGTGTGGCAACCTAAACTGCTGCACATCTATAAAAAGTTCTGTATTGAAACCAGTAAGACAGTCAGAACGAAAATTTTTAATTTTACAAGATTTTTGGAAAAATGGAGGACAAAGGAACCAGAGAAAATGAGTTTTCATTTGCATTTCTTTTCCAGTTAATCATATATTTGGTATTAGTAGCTGCCTCCTCTTATATGATAAGAAGATTCACAATGCCGAAGGCTGTCCTGTTTCCTTCGCAAACGTTACCGCTAACCATGTTTCGTGGACAGTTATGTAATAAGCTTTACTTTAGACTTGTCAGTTCATTCACTGCGCGTCGGTGGCACAGTGGTTAGGACTCTCGCCGACCATGCACATGGTCCGGGGTTCGATCCCCTGCCGGCGCACACCCGATATCTATGGTCGGCCTGCAAAATTGGGCTACCGATATCACCTGCTGAAAATTCCATACTTGTACCAAAAATACGGTGTGGAATCAAGCTATTATAAATAAAAAAAAATAAAAAATAGCCCATTTCTGTAATTTTATTTCAACTTTGATTTTTCCTCTTCAGTGCCTCCAAGTGATCCGCTTCATATAATAAGAATAGATGAGAATTTCTCAACAAATTCCAACATCTCCGATTATTATAAAAACACTTCAGAAAAATCTTTTACGCTAATAAGCGGAAAGTTGTACTATTTCAGTTGCCTTATAACCAGTGTTAATCCAAAACCACAAATTTCTTGGTTAATTCGTCATTCAAAAAATGGAATTCGAAAAATGCAAACAATTGATGAGTTGAATGAAACTAAAACAATGTGGAAAACATTTTCAAATTATGTAGACATTCAAAAGTCAAATGATTTAACTTATGAAGATGACAAGAGCTTTTTAAAATGTATTGCTAAAAATTCATTGGGAACTGCATCATCTGATGAAGTAAAATTAAATGTTCAATGTAAGTTTTTAATATATTCTATTATTTGTTTGAAATAATCACTGGTGAAACTAATTTTTGTTCGCACATATACATATGTTCATCATACTCTGAAGCAATTCAGTATTAACGCTCTTTTTTAAGAGACATGAATTCATTCCACAACAAATTTGAATATTGGATACAGGATTTCATCATGAGTTGACATCAGTTAGAGAACCATTGAAAATCCTGCAGCGATTACTGCACTGTTTTGTCCTAGTTTGGGGCTCTTCTTCAGTACGCACCCATCGCCAGGGTTCGAGCCCAGGACCTTCTGGCTACAAGGCGAGCTCGCAGACCATTAAGCCACTGGGACACTATCCAATGGCCGATGGATTTTAACTTCTGCGTGAAGCTAGCAACCCCACCCTGTAAACAAAGCTGCTACAGAAACTTCAGCACGATGAATCTCCTTGAGCCAAAAGAAAAAGTCTGTGTGGGGACATGGAATGTCCGCACCATGTACGAGATCGGCAAAGCTTCCCAGATCGCAAACGAGATGATACGGAATTCAAGTACTGGGGATATGTGAAAGCAGATGGAACGGGAATGGACTCACCTAATTGTCAACGGGTGAGTCAGTGATCTACTCCGGTCACCCAGAGGATAACCACATACACACTGAGGGCATGGCTATCATGATGTCACCAACGGCAACGCAGGATCTGATGCAATGGGAGGCGATCTCGCCCAGGATAATGACCTCCAGATTCAACTCCAAAGGAAGGAAAGTGTCAGTTATACAGTGCTATGCACCCACAAACAACGCAGACCTCGAAAAGAAAGAAGGATTCTACAGACAACTACAGGCAACAATGGACAATACTCCAGCTGGTGACATTAAAATACTAATGGGAGACATGAACGCCAAACTGGGACCAGACAACACAGGAAGGGAACTCACCATGGGTAGAGAAGCTCTCGGAGAAATGAATGAAAACGGAGAACTCTTCGCCGACTTCTGCGTCTTCAATGAACTAGTGATTGGTGGCAGCGTATACAAACACAAGGATATCAACAAGGCTACATGGGTGTCACCAGATGGGCGAACCAAAAACCAAATTGACTTCATCTCAATCTCAAGGAAGTGGAGGCGCAGCCTACTGGATACGAAAGTAAGAAGAGGAGCAGACGTTGGGTCAGACCACTACCTCGTACAAGGGACAATCCAAATCGAATTAAAAGCTTTCAGAGAAACAGGAGCTGCAGACAGACCACAAGCCAAGTTCAACATTCAAAAACTGAAGGAACCGGACACAAAGGACATCTTCACTGCAAGCATAAAGGACAAAGCCGAGACACAAATCAACACTGGCGAAGAGGTCAGAGTCTCATCCAACAGCTGTACGACAATTCTGCATGCCAAGTAATCCACAACGGGAAACTTACGGAATCCTTCGAAGTGAGGACAGGAGTAAGACAAGCTGGCTGCCTACTATCGCCAATGATTTTCCTGATTGCAGTAGACTGTATAATGCGACAGATAGCGGGTCGGGCAACGAGAAGAGAGGCATAAAATGAACCCACACAAAAAAACTTGGAGGATCTAGACTTCGCCGATGATATATATCTGATTTCCCACAAACTGGAAGATATGCAAGGGAAAAGCAACAAGTTGGCAGAAGAAGCATCAAAGATAGGACTTCAGGTGAACATAGAGAAAACAGAGGTGATGAAGATTCCTGGCCAAAAGCAGCAGCAACAACAGACAACAATCAGCCAGCATAAATTGGAGAAATCTGAGAGAAGAAACCTCCTTTATACAACTGGGAATCATCGTTTCAACTACAGGCGGATGGAACTGACGAGGATATCAAAGCAAGAATCGGAAAAGCAAGACAAGCTTTCACTACTCTCAAGTCTGTGTGAAGGTCAACAGCACTCAGCATCAAAAATAAGATTCGAATTTTCAACTCTAATGTGAAGTCAGTGCTACTTACTATTCGGATCAGAGACTTGCACTGCGCGTCACAAAGAGCATCTCAAGCAAACTACAAACCTTCATTAACAGTTGTCTTCGCCCAATACTCAAGATCAGATGGCTGGCCAGAAAAGATCAGCAACAGGGATCTCTGGGAGCGTACCGACCAGGAATCAATTTTGAAACAAATAGGCAGGAAGAAATGGAAATGGATTGGCTGGCCATACTCTGAGGAAACCATCAAGTGATATCACTAAACTAGCCATTGCTCGAGTGGAACCCGAAAGGGATGCGGCGAGTTGGTCGTCAGTGCAAGGGTGACTTGGAGGAGGTCATGTGAAGAGGAGATGAAAAGGTGTGAGCAGACATGGAGCGAGATGAAGACTCTAGCAGAGAACCGAACGCAATGAAGATGCACGGCTGAAGCCCTATGTTCCTGTAGGAATTAAAGGAAACAATAATAATAAAATTCCCGAAATAACCCGACCGCTAGCCAATGTCTTCAGAGCGTATTTGTCCTCTCACGTTGCTTGCTGCACCCTACTGGTCACGAAAAAATTTGAACGTTGCTTACCATATTATTCCTTTTCTTTCCCAGTGGAACAAGAGATCTGCAGTCTTCCTCTAAGTATCAGTGACAGTGTAGTTTTTATAGGATGGGTTTGCTAGTCTCTCTCTCTACCTCTCCTCCTTTTGCGGGCTTACCATAAGCTAGTAAATAGTCAGATTTTTAGGAGTGAGTCCGCTGGGATTTGAACCTGGACTATGTGGGTTGTTGGTGAGATTTCTACCATAAAACTATCAACATTCAATTCCTAAACCTACCATCTGAAGGTATTAAAAGAAGTCATCCCGAAAATATCACTGGTAGATTAAGAAAGCACTTTGAAAATTCAATGACTATAATGCATCTTCTCAAAAATAAATACTTGGTAGAAGTTAATCTAGATAACTTTCTTCTGAGGACTTCAACCTAAATGATTTTTCTCTCCATAAACACTCCAGAAATCACTCTTAAGGTGGTGATGATGTAAATAGCATGACGATCAAGCCATCGCTCCCTACAGAGAGATTGAATTTGGTAGGAGGCGTCATTTTCACGCATTCATGGTAGGTAAAATACAAGATAAGAACCAACGTCGACAAAATAAGAGAGCGTCACAGTCTACAGTAGTATCAATTAACTTTGTGACAGAATAGTGTACTTAGTTGAACAGATGGACTGATTCATAGTTAGTTAACAAGGTTACCATTAATCAAATTGTACAAGTGACCAATGTAAAATATAAAGTCACTATTCAGTCGCAACTCAGTCTTCATACACGATAAATTTAGTCAAACAAATAGAGTTAAGTTTACTGCAACAAAAATAACACACACTGAGCAGTTGCTTACCAGAAAACTTTTTTTCCGAATGATAACTTGTAATCAAAGATGAAGTAGTCGTAATAATAAAATAATTTGGACAATTACAATTTCAAAAGGCTTAGGGGGAGGGCGAAGTAGTTAGGTTTTTACATTCATGTAACGATGGTCAAGGTAGGGAAATTGGCTATTCAAATTTCTTCCAAACACACTGGTTCGACTTCTTCAGGTGGATACCTATGGCTTCAGTTGTATGTAGAAGATGAACTGGTGAAGCAAAATTAGGATAAGTAAGAATGCGATAAATAATATTAAATGCTGTATTAACGTCAACTTTATGCTCACTATCTACAAGGTGTGCTGAAATAGAACTACGAATAGATCTTGTTTGTCCCTTGCTTAACCATGATGATGAGCCTGCCTAAATGTACGCTCAATGAATTATTCAATCTACTTTTTGTAACCATTTCTACCCTTTAACTGTTTGTATTAATTTTCTTCATTAATTATCACCTCCTTGACACGCTAATACTGACTAATTATTGTTAACAAACATGTCGCCCCTAGATCGGTAGAATTTTTTGTATTGTACTAAAAATCGCTATGTGTATGATATATATTAGAGTAAAGCCAGAGATAAAGATTTAATTGAAAAGTTAATATTTCTTCTCTCAAGCCTTTTGCCTTCTGAAAGTCTTAATGGCTTTTTTTCTATAATGGTATCAATTGTATTTTACAGTTTTCTACCTAATGAACATGCCGGATGTAATCGCCTCGTTTGTAATTATTTTTCCAAAGAAATGTAATTGTTAAGATTGCAGAACTAAGTGGTAGAAAATGAGTGTAACTCATGGTATGGTTTTTTATAATGAGCTTTTGTGTAACCACCTGTCTTCACTGATAAACATAAACACGCTGGACATCCATATGTGCAGATAAGTGTTTCACGAGTGCGTCATTCATCAATGGATTGTTGACTTTCCCTTTATGGCTAGTGGTACTCCAGTCATTCACATCACCTGTTTTACTTCGAATATCGTATTAAGTTTAAGGTCACCTGTGGCAATAGACTTTTGCAATTTTTCTTATTGATGCAGACAAATTGCTTCATTCTGATGAGGCATCACAGTCGCTTAGTAAGATATGTTTATTATTTCCTGATAAATTTGAGAACAGTGATTCTCAGAAGCACCACTTTTACATAAAATTGAATGGAAACAACTCACAACACTGTAACTAAACTAAGACGGTTTCAACACTAGATAGAAAATTTGATACTTGACAGCGGAGTTCAAAACTGTATTGTTACAAATATTCGAAAGGTAGGTAGTTAATATGATGAAGTATGATCACAGTAGTTCTACAAACTTATCCGGCGATAGCTGGAAAAACCGGTTCATATGAGTGGTTCTGACTGCTCTCATCAAATGTTAGTAAATACCGTACAATTCGTTTGGTTATTCCTTTTAACGGCTTTGGTTGCAGTTAATTCATTTCGATTTTCCCAGGGAATCTTGGTGAAATCTAATCATAAATTGCGCTGGTTTTAATTCACATTCATGTTTAATATAGCTATTTACGCTTTAATAATCTTTGTAGTATGGACATATGTTTCCCCACTTAAGCCGCTTTTCAGGACCAAATACGAAATTGTTAATAAAACAAGAAAATAAATAGCAGGTCAGTGAATATC